GTTCATCTGCCAGAAACTAGCTGACCAGTCTATCACAGAGTTAGCAAGTCTCATTGTTTCAAAGTATATTGTGTTTTGTTTTCATTTTAAAGAGAATTAAAAAAATAGCAAAATGCCAAGAATATAGACAAAAACAAAACAAAGCAAGAACAATAAGAATGATACGGGGTTTCAGAACAAAATGATGGGGATTAACAGTCATTATATTACATATTTTTCATTTTTAAACTCATTGGCAAGTCTGTGTTTTTAGTTAAGTTCTTGAATTCAGTCCTTTGAAACTTAAAAGCAGTGTTGGATAAAAATTAGCTTAATCACTTTGTGTCAGTGTATGTTTTAATCCCATGTTAAACTTTTCTTCACTATCTACTGTCTGCAGATAGATGATGGACCACTTTTACATTAAAAGATTGGCTTTTCCTACCTATCTTTGTGAGAGAAATTCACTAGATTGTTTTGTATCAAACAGGCCAGAGAAAATAGGGTAGAGGGAAAAACCGACTCTAGATTCCAAAACCAATATGGTTATAACTATCTATTAGTACAGAAGTCAGAGGCTTCATCTTTATAACGCCAAGCTAATCATTGTGATGTAGGCTTTAAAAATATCACTTTGAAGTCCCTTCAATACACCTAAAGTGTTGGGTAATATCTTTAAATTTGCCAGGTACAGGGTGGCCATATAATTTCTTCTTGGCTCTTTCAATTTTCCAGATAGAAAGTGGCCATATAATTTCTTGTTGGCTTTTTCTTTGCCATATACAAGACAGCCATATAATTTATGGCCCATGTAAGGATCTTCAAGAGAAGCTGGGGTGCCGCTAGACAGCAGCTGTAAACACTTTCTGGCAGTAGGTTTACAACAGGACATTCGGGTATATGGAACTCTTCTGCCTCCTGGGCCACTACTAAGTGCTTCTGAAGGCTGAATGTGTGCTGTAAATGTGGAAACTTTCACCTGTGAACAGCTGTGATTGTTAATCTTAATTGTCAACTTGATTGGCTTGAGAGGTGCTTTGGGAGGTTTGCAAAGCATACTTTTGGACGTATCTGGGAGGATAATGGGGACGTAACCTTGGGGAGTGCATCTGGTTCCTGGCCCCTTCCTCTCCGGCTGTTCTCCTGCTGTCTGACTCTCGGATGCCTCAAATGAACAGCTTTCTTGCATCAGGCCCCTGGACCATTTTGTTTCTGCCTTGCAGCCAGCCAATCATGGACTGAACCCTCTGAAATGGAGCCATGGGTATCGGGTACTTCATTCCAGTGACTGGAAAGCTGGTTGATACAATAGTTGTGATAAATCCAGCTTTGTTTTTTTTCTCCCTGGAATCATCCATCCTTCTTGGTCCATCTGATCTCAGCAACTCACTGTTTTTGAGCCTGAGGACACCTTTCTACCTCAAAGTCCCTTTTCTACTTAGAGTGCCCCCACTTTCCCATCTCCAACAGGGAGGTGCCAGTGATGCTCTGGGATGCATTTCAGCAGTACTTTTCTTGATAAATTAGGCCTAAGCTCCCACAGGGCTACACTTGGATCCTTGTTAAGGCAGTCAGACCTTTCTATTTTGTTACATTTTGATGTGTAGTCTCGCATGTACTGCTTTACTGAGAGCAGAGACCACACATAAAACTGGGACATCACAGTACCCGTTGTATGTGCACCCCTCATTTAAACTTCCTCTCAAGTGTCTTAATAATTCTGGTGTATTTTTTTCCCCTAAACTGTGATAAGATACAAGCATCCGAGTTGATTGAAACCTTTACCGTATCTAGCACGTGCAAGGAATAGGCTCCCGCTGTTGCTGGACTAGAATGCTGGCATTTTTCCAGCCAAGAGGTGTGCGATCTCACGCAAGTTACCTAACCTTTGTGCACCTGTAAAATGAGGATAATGATAATACTCACTTCCTGGAGCTGTTATAAGAACCAAGTCCTCACAGAACAGAGCCCGACGGCATTAAGTATTCAATATCTTACTATTTTCACGGTTCAGTCTGCATTTTCCTGTTTCTTGGGGCTTTGTTTGCATTTTGAATTACACTGTAACTAACAGAAAGCCAAAAACATGTGTACTGCCCACCTGCACGAGGTACACCAAGGGATGGACACTGGAGAGCCATAACCTCAGTGACCCAGTGAACACCTGACAGAACAGAATGAAAAGTCCTCTTGAACATGATGGCCAGACCGTGCTTATCCTTGCAACCTAAGATCAGAGAGTCGAAGTGCTGGGTCGCTACACATCTGTGTCTGTATCTATAGAATAGGGACAATAATTATGAGCTGAAATAAAGATGAAATGAGATACTCTGTGCAAACCATTAAGTATGCAGAGCACTTGCTATATCCTTGCAACTGTTCACAGCATCTATCCAGGTACATGAATTCCCTGCAGAGAGCAATATGAGGCATATTCTGGGCAGAATGTCCACACAGCTAACTCCACTAGGGGAAGTTCAGAGAGTGCAAGGCCCTCTAGTTGGATTAGAAACGCAACTGAGGCAACATCTTCCCCTCTGCAGAACACTCAGTGAAGGAAAAGACAACATCACCATTTCAAAGAACGATCCATGCTGATGCATGACTTAGCATTAGCAACAGAAGTGGTGGCAAAGACAGGCCACTGGCAGGCAGCCTGAAAGAAGCCAGCAAATTTATATTAACCACCAGGGACAAGAAGCAAGCTCCCTGAGACCTTACTGGGAGAGAAAGGACAAAAGGCACCCACAGTGCTTCTAGACAGGTGCTCAGAGCCAGTGGGTTTTTACCGCATCCTGTACCGCTAGGGTGACTCAGATTGTAGCTGCCTAAAGAACTAAGGCTGTACATGGTTGAGCTGGAGAAAGAAGTTTGTTCAGTTTCAGATGTGTCTGCACCTAATTCCTCAACTGTACCATGACCAGGTCCCCAAGGAAGGGACATGCACCCACTTTATTTCCTTGGCATCATCTACTAAGAATATGCGATTTTTTCATGCTTACTCTTACTACTGGTTATCCCTTGTACAGCTGTGCATGCGGAACTATAGTTGGTGTGCTTTTTATTCTCCTGCAGCAAGCATGTCCCAGAGAGGTCAAATGGGAGAGCTGCCCTCAGTTCATTTTCCCTTAGATCTTAACCTTTTCAGCTTATTTCCACTTGGAGTCTGGATATTAAAGTAAAAATAATGCTTTGCGACCTTTATATAGGGCACCAGCTGTGTCTCCACCTTTTCCCCTGTGGCTTAGTGAGCCACAGAGCCGGTGCTGCAATAGCCTTGTTTCTGGAATTCTAACTTCCTTCCCAGCAGAGAATGACTAATGCTCAGAGCCACATATTGTACCAAGGGTTATGGAACAGAGCAAACGCTCGCTGGAGACATGCTTTGATACACTGATATCCACCCTGGGAACCAAAGCTAGATTTAGTTTTTTAAAAAGTCCCAAGTTTGCTCCAACTCCTCTTCAGTTCTATCCCCTTTCCCTCCCCAAGGATGTGAATCAAAAGCTTTCAGAAATGAGCACAATGGTGGTCTCTGTTACCCCTGAGCAGAGGTGCGTGAGTGCTAGGGCTCTGAAGGAGGCGTGAGTGAGTACGTTGGCAACAAACGCACCATTGGCAGAAGCTGTCCACTAGCAATATCCCCCCCCCCCCGCCGGAAAAGATTTCAGTGGAAGCCTAATAAGGGCACAGGGTAGGCATGGCGAGGCAGTAAGAGAGCCTTCACTAACATTACCCAAATCTGCCACCTCACCCAGAAGCCTGAGTGACAGCTCAGCCTCTGACACTGTCATTGCTCCTAGAACGATGGATTAGAGGAGCAGGACTTAGTTCCCCAGTCAGGAACTAAAGAGCTCGAGGCTCCTGCAATTGCTTGCGTTGGAGTTGTCACAGCCTTCACCCCTGCAATTGCTTGTGCTGGAATTGTCACAGTCTTGGCCCATTCAGCCTGCTGAAAACATTCTGTTACTGCCCAGCCAGTTGCTTCTCATTCTCTCTTGCAAAGGAAGAAGGCTTCACATTTGGTCAAATACAATTGTGCAATTAAAAGTGGAAGAAGTGGAGTAGGGGAAGAGGAAGAGCAGAGAGCCTGGAAAGCCAGGTGTTTGGTTGACTTTAGGATATAGTTGTGTAGTGCATAACTGTGGGCAGTTGCCGGTAGTGGTGGCTCATGCCTGTAATCCCAGCACTTGGGAGGCTGAGGCAGGAGGATTGTTGTGAGCTGAAGACCAGCCTGGGCTACAAAGGAGCTCAAAGCCAGCCTGAACTGCATAGTAAGACCCTGTCTCAAAAAGACAAAACAAACAAACAAAACTATGGTCAGGAAATGTACAGGAGAGGATGTGTTCTTAAAGCGTGCTGTGGATTATACATATGGATCCCTTCTGGTTTTTGAGAAAATTAGTCAAAGATGAATGTTATTTTGTTGACAGGACTACATTTGTCCTGTTGCTCCATACAGCCCAGGCTGTGTCAACCTCACACACATGGGGGACTGTGGGCTTGCTCATCAAATCGGGGCAAGCCTGGGAAAGTTTACCACTCTCCTGGAAGTCACATTAGAAGGCTGAGGCAGACATTAGGGGTTTGAATAAATCCAACAGGCAGAGGTGAAAAGTAGAGGGGGAGGTGGTTGACACTGGAGCTGGGTTTGCTATTGGCTTTATGTCTTCTGCCAGGGAACCTGGAGTGTTGATAGTGTAGCTTCCTGGCCGTGGGCCGGATAACTTCATTTTACTGTATCTTTACAGTTGTCTCATTGCTGAAAGCTGGAAATAGGGAGGAACAGTACAGAGGCAACTGACGTTTAATGTCCTTTTTATGAGCAACTTTTGTTGCTAGCACATTGATTCATGCCTGAACAATTCCTACATGCAGAGATTCAAAACATCCTGTCTGTCTCCTAGTTAATTTTTGGGTAGAGAAATGGAAGGTTTCTACAGACTGTTTAGAAAATGGCTGCTAGAAATCAGAGTTAAAAAGAAGTTAATGATTTTATTTCTTTCTCTTTCTCCCCACAGATGAGTTTGAAAGTCTTGCTTGGGGCCATATGGCGTGGATATGCCAGAAGGAAATTATATGCTGCTCTGTTTCTACTCAACTACTTTTCATTGTGTAAGTGGACCCTTTGAAGTAGCCTTTTCCTTGCCTTAGATTCTGACATGAATAATTGTTTAATTGCCTTTTAGTCTATACAAGATAAGGAACCACGTCTCAAAACTGCATAATTCTCTTAACTACACAATAGCCAAGCCACCACAGCAGTTTTTTGTTTGTTTGTTTGTTTTTTTTTTTTTTTTTTTTGTTTTTCTCCGGTACCGGGAACCGAACTCACGACCTTGCGCTTGCCAGGCAGGCGCTTTTGCTGCTGAGCTAAATCCCCAGCCCCGTACCACAGCAGTTTTTGAGGCAAGGAATTCCACACATATGTTAAGCATTTTATTCTCTCCCAAGTGCTTTGCTTTGTATCATTTTGTTAAATTGGTTAATGTATATGAAAGGACTATGTGAACTGTATGACATGACAAAAAAGTAAGATTTTATAACACCGTGGATTTGATTTTCCATATAGGAAACTGATGCTCAGTGAAGTTATAACCATAAGTCACAGCAGGGAAATAAGACCCTGACTGTTATCTGTTTTCTAACTCTGGATATGTGGTCTCCTCTGCAGCGGATGTCTCCCCACACAAGGTGTTCAAATTGAATGTTGCAGCTCTTAATAAACTTTATTTTTAATTCTAGAATCATGCAACAAACTGGACAAAAATGGTTCAGAATACTCACTGCATGGGTGGGTTATATTCCTAGCAAGAGAAAAGGAAGGGAGACACTGACATGGAAGGGAGGCAGACACAGTCCTATTGGTTACAGGTCCTGTCTTATGTGAACGTGAGTTGAATGCTTGGCTGCTTGTGATTGGCTGAAAACCGCCACTTGTTACAAGAGTAGATTCGTTCTATTTAGATCACACGTTAGGTTGCCCTTCAGCATGTAAGGAGAAAGCGTTTGGCCTAACTTGGAAGTATGTACTAAGGCAACTAAAATCTAAAGGCCAAACCAATTCTCCAGATGCCTTGCCCAGTAAGGCCAAGGGCCACCTTGAACTCCCTTGGAGGCTTCACAAAGCCCCTAAAGGTGGGCTCTTGGGCATATTTCCTGATCTGAGTTTCTTCCCACCAACCGTGTGATCTCCCCTCAAAGGCTGCAGGCAGTGCCTTACCTTTTTATCTTATTCAGCTGCTTCCAATCAGCCTTCTACATATTACGTTCTGTCAGGCTGGGGCAGTGGAGTCATATTTAGACCTAAATATATATATATATATATGTATATATATATAAAATATGCAATGTGTAATATAGAGCTTTGTTTTAAAAAAATTATCTCTGAGATAAGCTCAGAACCATTTCCATATTTTAAAAGAAGGAGCTAGTAAATCCTCATGTTGGGGTGTTACATTCAGCTTCAATCTCAAGTATGTTGGGAGCAACACCGCTGGTGGCAGCAGAAGTCACAGCAGGTTGAAGTACCCACCACCCTCCCAACCCTCGCCAGGTGCACCTGGGCAGCAGGATACAGGGTTCAGGAAGCCCTCTGTTAAAAGTAAATCTTCAGACAGATTAAATTTAACAGACGTTAAACAAGCAAAGAATGATTCCAGAATCAGGCAGCTCTCAGAATGAGGAGAGGCTCAGAGTGACTCTGGAGCTGCTTGAGATTGAATATTTATGGACAGAAAAAGGGAAGTGAGACCCAGGAAATGGAAATGGAATACAGAGACTAGTTGGCCACTCAGCTTCTGTGATTGGCTGAGACTCTCAGCTGTCTGTTACAAAAGCAAAGTCCTAAGTTAGGTATTTAGGTTAAATGCTGAGTTTGGTTGCAGTTCATTATGTAGGATTCTACAGAAGCTTCTAAAGCCCAAATTTAGTTTGATTGAACACCTCCAGGACCAGTGAACTTTGTAGTAGGGCCAGAGGGTGGGTGGCAGCCTTAGAGGAGAGGTTCCCTTGTGGAGGACCGCCATGTCACCCTCCTCCAGACCTGAATGTGATTGTGTGTACTTTATGTGTAGTGCAGGCTGTACAGAGGTGACATCCACAAATTGGCTGTCTGTTTAATTAGTGAATCTGACCGAGGCTGGGTATGCACCTTCATGAAAGCAGCAGCTGATAATGGACTTACACTGTTTGTTATCAGTGGCCATGGTTGAGCTCAGATAGATGAGCTATGATACCATGGGGCTAAGATACAAGATAACGTTTTTGCTGAGGCCTGCATGACTCCAGAGGAAAATTCCTTCCCAGAATTGGCTACAAAGCAGATTATTCATTAATGTTAACCATAACCTAAATCTGGCTCTTCCTATCCCTTCTGCAAGAATTCTTTCCCCTCTGTTATCAGCCTTACCAGCCTTGCCACTTGCCAAGCACACCCAGTCGCGATCCCCTCACCACTTTTCTCAATGAATAAATACCTAAGTTCTGGGTGCCTCGTGGCGGCCTTTTGTTTTCTGAGAACAACTGGTCATCCCAGATTCCTGCTGCACCCCTATTTTGTCTCTTGCTTTTTCTTCCAACTGTGTGCTGGAACACTTGGCAAGAGATTGGAACCTGTTGCAGAGGTCTCCTATAGTCCCTCACTCCTGATGAGGGCTTACAGAGGTCTCAGGTGCATCAGAGGGCACAATCAGGGTGATGAGGCAACTCATGGGGAATCGGAGGAAATATTAGCAAATTGTAATATCTGATAAGAGAATGTGTATTCAGAATATATACAGAACTCTTACAACTCAGAAGCATTATCGCCAAAACAAATGAGCAAAGAACTTAATTAGACATTTTCTCAAACATAGACAAATGTCCAATAAATGCATGAAAAGATGCCTAGCAACTCTGTAATTATGGAAATGAAACTCAAAACTACAATGAGATATCACAGCATAACCATTAGAATGGCCATTATAAAAAAAACCCAGCGTGATAGATATAGAGAGCCTGGAACCCTCATTCACTGCAAGTAGGGAAGTAAAATGTGCAGCTGAAGTGGAGAACAATATGGTAGCTCTCAAAAAAAAAAAAAAAAAAAAA